TTCACTTTGTCACCCTTGGTAGAGTGCCATGGTGTCATAGCTCACAGCAACCTCAAATGCTTGGGCTCAAGCGATTCTCTTACCTCAGCCTCCTAAGCAGCTGGAACAACAGGCTCCTGGCACAACGCCCAGCTATTTATTTAGAGACAGGGTCTTGGCTCTGGCTCAGGCTGGTCTCCAACTCCTGAGCTCAGCCATCCACTGGCCTTGGCCTCCCAGAGTGCTAGGATTACTAGCGTTGAGCCACCTCACCCGGTCTGAATCCTAGCTCCTTAAGGATGTCAAGTTTATCCTTCCCCCTCTAATCCCTTAAGACTAATTTACTGCCTTGGATTCTTTAACCTTACTTCCAAGGATCCTCAGGGTCTATCTCCTGTTAACTCCTTTGCTTTTTGTCTCCACATTCCACACCAGGGGACATATGCAAACTTTCGTGAACCTGAAATGCAGTTTTAGGGGCTCTCCATAATTCCCCAAACCCAACTCCTTTTTTTAATGAGACAGGGTCTTGCTCTGTTGCTCAGGCTGAAGTAAAGTGGTATTACAGCTCACTGCGCCCTCAAACTGGGCTGAAACAGTTCTGCCTCAGCCTTCTGAGAAGCTGGGACTACAGGTGTGTGCCACCATGCCCAGCTAGTTTTTTTTTTTGTAGAGACAGGGTTTTGCTACATTGCCCAAGTGGGCTCTAACTCCTGGCCTCAAGTGACCCTTCCACCTCAGCCTGCCCAAATGCTGGAATTACAGGTGTAAGCCACCATGCCTGGCCCCCAACTGTTTCTTAACCAAGACCCAACTTAAACATCACCCTTAAGAGCCTAACTTCCGGCTCGGTGCCTATAGCTCAACCGGCTACACGTACACCTAAGGTGGCGGGTTCGAATCCCCAGCCCGGACCCGTCAAACAAAAATGACGGCTGCAACCAAAGGATAGCCGGGCGTTGTGGCAGGCGCCTGTGGTCCCAGCTACTTGGGAGGCGGAGGCAGGAGACTCGCTTGAGCCCAGGAGTTGGAGGTTGCTGTGAGC